GGGAACACTATCTCTCTATAGCCTAAGGGACAACCAGTGGACATGTCTCCTCTACTCCAGGTCTCCTGTAAAACCATCACATCTGCATCTCCTAACTCTTTGGTGAAGTCTGGGGTCCTGCTCTTAAGGGCAAAAGCAGAGGACCTCAGACCCTGGATATTCCAACATGAAATAATAAATGATCTAGATTGCATTAAAACAGAGAAAGATTCAGAGCATTCAACATTACAATGAGATAAACTCCCAAATCGCTGGTTGTCAATAAATAGGTTGATTTAAGAACACATTAGATATATGGGATTTCAATATACGATAGATTTAACAATTTTACAGAACAGTTTTCTTTTTTTTTCTTTTTTTGTGTCTACTGTATACAAGCAAGAAAACAAACAATGACTACTGATTGTCTACTGTGGTACCTGACCTATCAGGTGGGAGCAGAGCAGGCTGAGCATCTGCTGGATGTCTCTCAGCTCGTCGTGTGGGTGGGTTCAGGGACATGGGTGGTGGTGGTAAGGGTTGGGCCTGCTGTTCTCTTCACTGCCTGAGCATAACTCAGTGGGTCAGGGTGTAGCTTCCGTCGCTGTGGTTGGGGTAGGACCCCTGGGGACAGGAGTGGTTCTGGCCTTGCTTGAGGGTAATCATAGTTGCCCTGGTGGGATCTTAGTGGGGCATGGTGTGGAAGAAGATGAGGATGATCTTGTCTCCATGGGGGGAAGGTGGTGGAGGCTTTCTCTATCACTCCTCTGAGTGACTCTGACACTCTCTCTTGCTGGCTCCTCAGGTCGTTGGAGCCAGTGTGGATGATGATGTGGCTTGGGGATCCCAGCTGCTCCTCTGACAGCAGGTCCATGGCATGTTGGGTGTTTGGACACCAGATTTTAGCCACTGTGTGAGTGGGGAAAAGTTTATTTTCATCAATGAATTTGCCATTGGAGTCGATGAGGATGACAATGTCTGGCTTCCCTCTCTGCTGTGCTGGTCTGGAAGGATGAGGGGTGTTGTTAGTCTGTGGGCTACGGGTGGTGTTCATCTGTGTGATAGGGGGAGATCTGGGAGTTGGGTTAGCCTGTGGGTCAGAGATGGAGCTGGGGGTAGAGGGTGGCTGCTGAGTTGGAGGGTTCTGGCTGCTCTCAATGGGGGTCACAGGGTTCTGGTTGTGGTCTGGGTGTGAGTCCAGCTGCTCTTTCAGGGCCTGTGCAACTCTCTCTGTCTCCTGAAGCTCCTCAGATAGAGTAGCCAGTTCTCTCCTGTAGCTCTGTCCCTCCTCTCTCAGCTCCCTCAACTCCTCTGTCAGAGCGGCCAGCCGTGCCATGTGACTCTCTCTGTCCTGCTGCAGCTCTAGCACCTCAGTCCTCACGGTGGACAGCTCTCTCCTGTGGCTGTCTCTGTCCTGCCTCAGCTTGGTGAGCTCTGTGCTGATGGCAGACGAGTCCCCCTGGACCGTGATGTCCTGGGTTGGCTGTTGGCTGATCAGCTCTCGCAACTGTACGAGCTCTCTCTCCAACTCTGTGAACTTCACCTTCAGTTCAGTGATGGTGTGGTTCAGCTGGGGGTCCTGGGCCTGTTCTGGGCCGGCGGGTTCTCCCTCCTCAGGGTCAGCAGTGGGGCAGCCAGAAGTGGGGGTGGTGTCCGTCTCTGGCAGGGTGTGGTTGTTCTCAGTGGGGGCAGATTTATCCTGTTGGGCCCGTTCCTTTATAAGGAGAAAGTCCAGCCCAAATTGTGTGAGGTTCCCCTGCACCATGACAGTCCCGTTCTTATATATGTTGACTGTTGTCATGACAGTGTCTGGGTCTTCTACCTCTTTAATTTTGAGTTTCCAACCATTGCAGATCCCCTCTTTCTTCACAGAAGGGTAGTGGGCACTTATGGCGGCGTGCCATGCTAATGGCTGGTCTGTGAGGAAGATCAGATTGCTGACTTCTCCACTCTTGTACAGGTCAGCAAAGAGCGTCTCTGGTCTATCCTTCAACAGTTTTAGTTTGTATGCCTTCCTGGCACTGTCATTTTTGACCTCTTGTGGGTATACAAGAGGAACAGCCTCTGTACAGGCTGTGGTTGAAGCCATGGGGCTCTGCTGCTGTTGTTACATGTTGTTAGATGTGTCTATCTGTCTGTCTCTCTATCTGTCTGTCTCTCTATCTGTCTGTCTCTCTATCTATCTGTCTCTCTATCTGTTTGTCTGTTTATCTGTCTCTCTATCTGTCTGTCCCTCTATCTATCTGTCTGTCTCTCTATCTATCTCTCTATCTGTCTGTTTGTCTGTTTGTCTGTTTATCTGTCTTTCTATCTGTCTGTCTCTCTGTCTGTCTCTCTATCTGTCTCTCTATCTATCTGTCTGTCTCTCTATCTGTCTATCTATCTGTCTATCTATCTGTCTGTCTCTCTATCTATCTGTCTGTCTCTCTATCTGTATGTCTCTCTATCTGTGTCTCTATCTGTATGTCTCTCTATCTGTCTCTGTTTTTCTATCTGTCTGTCTCTCTATCTGTCTCTCTATCTGTTTATCTCTCTATCTGTTTATCTCTCTATCTGTCTGTCTCTCTATCTATCTGTCTCTCTATCTGTTTGTCTGTTTATCTGTCTCTCTATCTGTCTGTCCCTCTATCTATCTGTCTGTCTCTCTATCTATCTCTCTATCTGTCTATCTGTCTGTTTGTCTGTTTATCTGTCTTTCTATCTGTCTGTCTCTCTGTCTGTCCCTCTATCTATCTGTCTGTCTCTCTATCTGTCTATCTATCTGTCTGTCTCTCTATCTATCTGTCTGTCTCTCTATCTGTCTGTCTCTCTATCTGTTTGTCTGTTTATCTGTCTTTATATCTGTCAGTCTCTCTATCTGTCTATCTGTATGTCTCTCTATCTATCTGTTTCTCTATCTGTCTCTCTGTCTGTCTATCTGTCTGTCTCTCTGTCTGTTTATCTGTCTTTCTATCTGTCTGTCTCTCTATCTGTCTCTCTATCTGTCTCTCTATCTGTTTGTCTGTCTATCTGTCTTTCTCTCTATCAGTCTGTCTCTCTATCCGTCTCTCTATCTGTCTGTCTCTCTATCTGTCTCTCTATCTGTCTGTCTCTCTATCTGTCTCTCTATCTGTCTGTCTCTCTATCTGTCTCTCTATCCGTCTGTCTCTCTATCTGTCTCTCTACCCGTCTGTCTCTCTATCAGTCTGTCTCTCTATCTGTCTCTCTATCCGTCTGTCTCTCTATCTGTCTGTCTCTCTATCTGTCTACCTGTCTGTTTGTCAGTTCAGTGTCCTGGTGTCAGGGCGTTGGTCAGATAGACATGGGGAGAGAATAAGGGTGGAGGTGGGATGATGAGTCGGTGTGGTTTGCAGACACACATCAATGTCCCCTCACTCTGGTGTGTGTGTGTGTGTGTGTGTGTGTGTGTGTGTGTGTGTGTGTGTGTGTGTGTGTGTGTGTGTGTGTGTGTGTGTGTGTGTGTGTGTGTGTGTGTGTGTGTGTGTGTGTGTGTGTGTGTTGTGTGTGTGTGTGTGTGTGTGTGTGTGTGTGTGTGTGTGTGTGTGTGTGTGTGTGTGTGTGTGTGTGTGTGTGTGTGTTGTGGTGTAGTGTGTGTGTGTGTGTTGTGTAGTGTGTGTGTGTGTGTTGTGTTGTGTGTGTGTGTGTGTGTGTTTGTTTGTGTGTGTGTGTGCGGGAGGGGAGTGTCTTTTGTCTCCCCCTAACCTGTTGCCTAGCAACAGTCGTGCTGTGCTGCCGCAGAGCCAGAGGGTGATGATGTCACCATAGATCAGAGGAGAACACGTTCACAACAACACGCCGCACACTCACATACACACACAAACACACATAAATATCCGCTATCACACACCCTTTGAACAACACTTACAGAGGCAAACACCGTTTATCTAATTTATTGGAATACATTTGCTCCACAACCAACTGTCACCATATTAGTAACTCCAAACTTAGTTTAAACACTGTAAATGCACACACATGCACACACACACAAACGGCAGACCAGGTGTGTGTGGGTCCTGGACATCCTGGTGTTTGGAAACATGTTGGGACTGAAGTAAAAACACAGGGCTGACAAAGACATGGAGTAATGATGTGCATTCGTGTTGAGAAGGGTGCTATATAAATAAAGTTGTACTTACTTTTACAGCAGTGAGGAAACTCAGAGAGGGAATAGATTTTACACTCAAGCAGTTTTAGCTAGTCTTGTTCAAAGCTGTGTAAAATATTTAGCAGTAGAATCATAGAATACATTCCGGCTGTAACAAAATGATAGGGCAAGAAACCTAATGACAATGTAGAAAGCAAGAAAAATGGCTGAAGGACTGAAGAGGGAGTCATTTAACGTGGGTGGGTATTCAGCCGGACTTTGGGCAAATTGGCTGTTTGACCAATTTACTTTGAAATGGCAGTGACAAATGAGTGTGATGTCACCCAGCAGTCGGTCGTGGCAACTTGCAAAACGATTCTGTGGTAATAACTCAGACCAGTGGTTCATGTAGTTCTCCATGGATGATTTTGAGTGTCACAAGATAACAAAGAATATGAAAATGACTCAAATCAAACGATAAATGTATCATTGTTGGTTTCCTATTGTTTGCGAAAAGATGGTTTTAGCTGATAGTCTGCCTTCACCTGAGTTATCTGTCCAATGTTTGAAAAAGGACTTTGCGACAGGATATCATGCAGTGTGCTGCACTAATCCAAACCTGACTGTATGCATGTGCACAGTTGGAGAGTTGCACAGAAACAGTGATGCAATGTTTTTTGGAAACAGAGGTCATTATTTAACAGTATGCCATCTTCCTATTTGTTGTACCTTTGAAATAATGCAATTTGTGATCTGGCAGTCACACAGAGCAACAATGCTCCCTCACACGGCTCACCATTTTTATTTTTTTCATGTCAGACCAATGCCTTCACATCCTTGTCGAGCGTGGACCACTGCTACTTAGCTGATGACTAATATGACCGTACCTTTTAGTCTATTTCCCTCACTTTGTTCTTCCTCTCTCCCCTTATTACAGGTGCAGACTACAGAGCGATCTGATTGGTCAGAATGTCCTGAAGGAGCGGGGCTACTTTGTCTACTGCAGGACATAACTACGTCCAACAGGTGCGTGTTTGTGCTGTTTGAAGACACTTGTGCGCGTCATATAAAATATCACTGTTCCTTTCTGATACAACAGATCTAAGAACTGAAACTGATTTTTCTTTAATATCTGCGGCAAAATAGTATTTTTGCCATTTGCGGTGCTCATTCCTGTCAGTAGTATCTGTACACTAGTGGTGAAACCATTCTTCAAAGGTTCCCAAAAACACAATGTTGTGGATTTAAAAATGTCTCCTCCAGCCCTCTCCTTCATCTTATTATTTTCATGCATGTCTGAACATGTCTGGTTACACGTGTCACAACTGACCTTTTCTCCGCTGTTAATTGAAAGGATGCAAAGCAGGCTGCTGGCAAGACAGTGTCAGCTTAATGGCTCAGAGCTGAGAGATCAAATATATACAGTGCCTTGCAAAAGTATTCACGCCCTTTGCCATTTTTCCTATTTTCTTGCAAAGAAAAACTAAAATAATATAATATTTTTGGGGGGATTTTATGGCCAAACAAAGTCAGTCAAAATTGGTAAAGTGAAAAAAAAGAGAGCGTCTTTTAAAACATAAAAAATAATTAAAAACTGAAAAGTGGTGTGTGCTATTTAGCCCAAACAAAGACCTTCAGTCACACAATAATTTAAATAAAGTTCACCTGTGTTAAATCAAGTGCCTCATTATCTCTGTATATATACACCTGTTGTAGAAGGCCTCAGTCCTCCATACCTCAGCAAGTGGCCTTTCTAAGCGAGAAAACGACACCATGAAGACTAAGGAGCTCTCCAAACAGGTCAGGGACAAAGTTGTGGAAAAGTATGACAAAGGGTTGGGTTATAAAAAAATCTCACAGACTTTGAACATCCCACGAAGCACCATTAAATCCATTATTTTAAAATGGAAAACATATGGCACGACAACAAACCTGCCAAGAGAGGGCCGCCCACCAAAACTCTCACACCGTGCAAGGAGAGCATCGATCAGAGAGGCAACAAAGAGGCCGAGGGTAACCCTGAAGGAGCTGGTAAGCTCCACAGCAGAGAGAGGAGAATCTGTACATAGGACCACAGTAAGCCGTACACTCCACAGAGCTGGGCGTTATGGAAGAGTCGTCAGAAAGAAGCCATTGCTTAAGGCAAAAAATAAGAAAACACGTGTGGAGTTTGCCAAAAGGCATGTGGAGGATTCCCCAAACATGTGGAAGAAGGTCCTGTGGTCAGGTGAGACTAAAATGGAACTTTTGGCCGTCAAGGTAAACGTCTGGCCCAAACCCAACCCCTCTGATCCCCCTCACAACACCACCCCCACAGGGAAGCAAGGTGGTGGCAGCATCATGTTGTGGGGATGTTTTTCATCGGCAGGGACTGGAAGCTGGTCAAAATAGAAGGAGTGATGGATGGAGCTAATTACAGGGAAATAGTTGAGGAAACTGTGTTTCAGTCTGCCAGAGAATTGAGGCTTGGGCGGAGGTTCACCTTCCAGCAGGACAATGACCCAAAGCATTCTGCTAAAGCAACGCTAGAGTGGTTTAAGGGGAAACGTTTTGGAGTGGCCAAGTCAAAGCTCTTAATCCAATGGAAAATCTGTGGTATGACCTAAAGAAGGCTGAACACGAGCGGACCCCATCTAACCTAAAGGAGCTGGAGCAGTGTTGCCAAGAAGCATGGAAACAAATCCCAGTGGAAAGATGTGCCAAGCTTATAGACACACGCCCCAAGAGACTTGCAGCTGTTATTGCTGCGAAAGGTGGCTCTACAAAGTATTGACTTTGGGGGGGGTGAGTAGTTATGCACGCTCAGGTTTTCTCTTTTTCATTATTATTTCTTTTTTGTGTCACAATAAAAAATATTTTTTGCATCTTCAAAGTTGTAGGCATGTTGTGTATATCAAATACCACACATTCTCAACAAATCTAATTCAATCGTTAAATTAAAACGAATTAAAGAAAAATGCCAAGGGGGGTGAATACTTTTGCAAGGCATTGTATATTAGAAACAAAAAGTGTTCTTTGTTTGGGCTTCTCTTGAGATTTCATATCAGTGGCAGGAAACATGACCTGCAGCTCCTCACATACCTGGCAAGGTAACATCTTCCTGGGAGCTTTGTGTGGATACTGTGAAGATAATGGGAATCAAACCAAGATCAATACAATCTGAACCACAAGAAATGCTCAGGGAACACAGCTTCAAAAGGGACCCCGAGTTAATCTCACTGCCAGCAGTGCTTACCTGTAAACAAACTGCAAACAACAGAAGCTAATACAAATGTGAAAAAGTACACCAGCACATCTCAGTTACTACGGTATCAGTTTAGTTCACATATAGCTTAAATACTTTTGTCTCCACTTCATGAAATTCCTGTGTCAAATCAAATCAGGTTTTATTTATATAGCACATTTTAAAAACGATTTTTGGTCGAGCCAAAGTGCTGTACATGCAAATAATAAATAACACATTACTACATTCGCAAAAAGAAGACAATACATATAAAAATCAGGAGTCGTGCTCCGCTCTGACTAGAAGGCCAGGGAGAAGAAGTGAGTTTTTAGTGTTGATTTAAAAAGTGTCGTCCACTTTACACCCATTCATAAAACAGTTGTTCACTTTCCCTATGCTAAGGGTAACTTGAGAACAGGGCGTGACACCCGTAACATTTCCCTCTCACACAAACAGTGAATCAGACCAAACTGAGAGAATAAGGGTGGAGGAGGGATGATGAGTAGGTGTCTGTGTGGTTCGCAGACACACATCAATGTCCCCTCACTCTGATGGAGGTGTGTGTGTGTGTGTGTGTGTGTGTGTGTGTGTGTGTGTGTGTGTGTGTGTGTGTGTGTGTGTGTGTGTGTGTGTGTGTGTGTGTGTGTGTGTGTGTGTGTGTGTGTGTGTGTGTGTGTGTGTGTGTGTGTGTGTGTGTGTGTGTGTGTGTGTGTGTGTGTGTGTGTGTGTGTGTGTGTGTGTGTGTGTGTGTGTGTGTGTGTGTGTGTGTGTGTGTGTGTGTGTGTGTGTGTGTGTGTGTGTGTGTGTGTGCGTGCGTGCGTGTTGCATCTAACTGCCTTTATGAGTATGTGGGCAAAATGTGTGTACCCTCTTTGTGCCAAGGGTTTTGTCGCCTTAGTGACCATTCTCCCTTCCTTTTGATCTCTAGATGTATGAGACCAGCGACCTGACACAAAAACACACACACACACACACACACCAATAGTGCTTTCACCCTCTTCTATACACAATCTGTCTGTCTTTCAATCAATCAAACACACACACACACACACACACACACACACACACACACACACACCCTGTCAGATCAATAATAAAGGTGTATTGTTGTCCTGCTATAGAGGCCTCTCCTCTCCTCGGTCCCCCCTTTTTGTCACCCTCTATATCCATTTCTCCTTCTCTCTCCCCCCTCCATTTTCTTCCTCTTCCACCTCTCTCTCTCTCTCTCCCCTCTCCACTCGTCACCTCTCTGCTCTCCCTCTCTAGCAGATGAAAGCAAGATCAGCTCCAGCCTTTGAAGTGGCTGAGACTGGCACACTCCCACTGGTTTAGGTAGGAGGAGGGGAGCAGAGGTTTTAGGAGAAAGGGCAGGAGATGAAAGGAGTTATGAGGAGAGAGGAGAAGAGAGAAGGGAGGAAGGGGGGGGGGGGGTTAATTGAGAGGATGAGAGGAGTTGCGGCAGAGAGACGAGACGGAAAGAGAAGAGCGGCGTGGAGAGTTCCTCACCCAAATGATGTAATTCAGCCTTTACCATGGCAACCTGAGGAATGCCTTTTCAAAACCTCAAGCCTGAGCGAGAGTAGATTTGGGGGGGGGGGGGGGGCGTCACTCGTAGTTCTCCGTCCTGAAGAGAAGCCCTGAGGCCCAAAAACCTGATCTCCTGTTGCTGGGTTCAATTTGAACATGAAGCTGTCAGACGTTTGCTCATAGCTGCAAACCCTCTGCATAACATCGCCATGGTCATGATTTGTCTGGAGATTATACTATAACATCATCCACCTTTTTATAAAGTCTATAGTCTATAATCTATCAGGAGAGTCAATGAAGGGACACTTTAGCTCATTTTGGGGGAGGTATCAGGCGATGAAGAGTGGGAACCATTGGTTCATAGAACAGCTCACTCTGCAATGGCCACATGTAAACCCTATAACAGGACTAATATGTCACATGGTCTGACCTGCAGTCTGCCACCACGGAGAGCAGATTCCTGAACTGTCTGGTGAACATGCAGTTATTGAGATCTGATCAAAGTGAGAGGTAGAGAGCTGTTCCTTGTTTGGCTCCAGGTGATGGTGTAAGCTCCGTGGTCCTCCTGCAGCTGCTGAGTGTCCACAAGGACAGTGAAGGTGCAGAGGTTTAATGAGTTACTCTAAAGTTTGTCCTAAAACTTTTGTGGATCCAATTTATGTTTTCAATATTCACAAACTTTGAAGGATTTCCGCGGCCTCTGGGAGATGTGTTAATTATGTTAATTATGTGGGTTTTAATCAACTCAGAGCAGGGGGGGGGGGGGGGGGGGGGGGGGGGGTTGGCCTTCTGCTGGCCTCGCTGTCAGGCTGCCCTCAAAGACACCTGGGAGGAAGGGGAGGGGGGGGGGGGGGGTAGATTACAGACAGATTATAGTCACAAAATGATGACTGAATGTTTGTTCGTATCATATTTTAGTGGTGTTTAGTTATAAAGAGAAACCAAACATCTTCAGGACTTTTGTTAGAGTATACTATACCACCACTTGTTATATGACTCTGTAAAGGAATACTTAACTACTTATTACTTTTCTTGACATTTTTGGTTTGTCATTGTCAATTGTTCCCAGAAATATGGATAGATAGATATACCATGACTTGTTGTTACCTATTTATAGCAAACTATTGTATGACTTATTTGACAGACTACGATTTTTTTTTTAGGATTATTGTGACAACATCATGACATTCACTACATATAACAATTTAATACATAAATACTTTGGAAAAAAACGATGAACTTTTTGTGAACTATGACATTTATGATTTGATTATGACATAGAATACTGTTGCTATTCATGAATTTAAAAGAAAACGCTTTAAAGACATTTTTCAAAAAGAGAGTATGGAAAAACATTTTTCTTTTTTTCTTTAGAATTTGTTTTAATATATTGATCATACAACCAGAGTGTATTTTACTGACAGCCAGCACAGGCAAACTAGCATACATAGTCTGAATGTAATGGTCAAAAAAATCTGCCCATAAATCTGGGGGAATGTGTATGAACCACGAATATACTAATATTGTTGCAACTGTTGCACGTTCAATATATTTGAGCAATAGTATTTATTTAAAACCTGTTTTGTATTGTGATAACTATTCCATGGCGATAACACAAATAGGATACTCATAAAGGGAAAGTATAGTTTTAGAGAAAAGAGATGAATATATGTCAAATCAGTCGGACAAAAAGCAGCATCAGTTTTAATACCTGTGTTATTGATTTGTTCAAAGCACTATGAGCTGCATTTCCTGTTATGAAAGGTCCATATATCAACGTTTTATTATCATTACCTGCTCCGGTGCTCTCGGCTGCCGTACTTAAATATGACCTAGATTCTGTTCATTTCCCTCACAGTCCCCCCCCCCCCCCCCCGTATCATTCTCATTTACAGGCAGGCCGCTATTTAGCCACAAGGCTTATTCTAAGTGGTGCTGAGGGAAGAAGAAGAAGTCTTTGGTGGGTTCATTCACTTTCAAGGAAAAAATAGCCCCCCATTGTCTTCATGTTAAGACAAGAGCTCCCTCTTAGGTGGTCTTGAATGAAACTGAACATGACTTTATTTGTATTGTATAAAAAAGAAATAATAATAAAAGCTCAAATCAGACAGCTGCACTTCTATCAATACACCAATGCCCAGAATCAAACGCATGATGTCCATAATGAAGCCTAAATGAAAATGACACTATATTTGCTATCTATCTCATTTCCAAATAGATGTTCTTTCCCTAGTCTTCAGTTTTACTGCAAACTGTGGAGCCACACAAGAGCTGGAGAAATGATGTGCAGTAGAAAACCTTTTATGAAGATTTGAAGGCATACGTTCAGGACATGACATTCATGTGCACTTTTTTGGGCCATGTTGCCTTAATAGATTAAAATATATATATGGATGAATAAAGTTAGAGGCGAACGAGAGAAGAGTGAGGGACATGCAACACAGGCTGTCGGCTGGTATCCCATCGTGAACATGCCTCTTAGCCTTTATGCAATTGAGACTCATCTTCACCTTTTTAAGGAATAGTTTGGATGTGTTTGATGTCACCAGTAAACTAATGTATGATATCATGAATAACCTTTCTTTCCTCTTTCCCAGGTGTCACCTCGATTTGGCTCCAGTGGCTGCTGAAATCCTGCAGGTGATCTCTGGATCCTGAAAGCATGTGATGGTCAAAACGATCAAGAGCCATCCAACATTTCAGCATCTCAGAACTTTGAAAATGTACGCATGATTGGAATTCTGCTTTTAGATGTTTTTCTCTGAATACAGTTATTTAATAAATAACCAGATAGATGATTGATCTTTTAAACCGTTATCAGTTTTTTAATAAAATGCGTAGATTTTCATCATAAAAGTTTCTTCGTCAATCTGAGTTAATTGTTATACATTGGACTGGAGGTAAACAAAACAGTTATTATAATATTAAAATATTTATAAATATTTATGAATTCATAATGGTTTTTGTTTTGAGTAGCAGCTGGCTCTAAAAAGCTTTGAGACCAGAGTCAATGGCCCTTTCTCATTTGTTTAACTCCCCTCCTCGACTCCCCTCCTCGAGACTTAGTCCCGCCCACAGGAGATGCGAGCGGAGGAGCAGGCGGTTAGAGAAATGAGAACTCCTCTCCTCTGAGCGGTCATTTTAAAGAGACGTCCATTAATGATGACAGGAGGCACAGCAGCCCTCTGTCTGATGGACAGATGTGTTCATGACGACTTATATATTACTTTTAATTAGTGGTGCACGATAATTATCGGCCCGATAATTATCGGTCCGATATTAGGAATTATGACGTCATCCCGATAAACCCGATATAAGTATTAATAGCCCCGATAATATACAATATATTTTTTAGGTAGAAAAAAATACTGCGGTGTGGGTGGATTGGGATGAGGGGCGCTTGTTTTTCACTCGGCTCCTCCCGTTTTGCCAGTACTGTGGTATTAGTGGTTTAGGAAGAGGGGAGTTTTTCACAAATCCAGCGCTCCCTAACTCATGCCTGGCTGTGACGTAAATGGTGTGCGGCCGTGAAAGCAGGACAGTAAACAAACATGTCGCCGGTAGTATCGGACTATTTCAAAGTTTCAGAGTTAGATAGTTCGCTTGCTATTTGTATTAACAAATGCAGAAGTTCCACGAGGAGGGAAAAAGGCAACGAGCTATAATACTTCCAACCTGATTAGTCACCTGAAACATCGCCATCGCTACGATGGTGTGTTAAAAGCATACGAAAACGCCTGCGCTGCTAAACTAGCGGCGAATCCAAAGCCAGCTGCAAAGGCACCGGGGCTTTTACCTATCGACGAGGCTTTTGAAAAAGGCAAGAACTTTATTTGGGGAAATAAATATGGTCACTTTGAAGAGTCAAAACTGTTCTTGGCTTTGTTTTGTTCATAGTAGTAATGCTCATGTCATTTGCTCACTACTAGTCTTTTTTTTACCACCAGGTGTGCAAAAACTACAGGTACATTTAATATATATGATATTATTATCGGTTATCGGTATCGGTCTTGAGAAGCAGGAAGTTATCGGTATCGGTTTCAAAAAACCAATATCGTGCATCCCTAATTTTAATTCATTCACAGTGCGGTATAATGAGACAGGCTACAGATGCGGACACACACATATACGTATATATTTATATAAATATATACAATTTCAGAATCAAACAGAGCACTCTCATAATCAGTGGCGTTTCTATATGTACAAAAGTGAGTGAGTGCAGTGAGGTTCATGGCTGGTGAGGCACTGGCACTGACTCTTCAGGTTTACAAATATTATATTTTGACCTAAATCAAAATATAATATTATTTTCAAAAGCTTTTTTAGTCTGATGCTTCAATTAATTTTAAACAGACAGTTCAACAGAAGGATACCCAAAAAATGTAATTTTATCATTTAAATATTGAATTCTCTCTTAGTAAGATCCCATTTTCAATAAAATTGTGGTCTTGACTTGAAGATGAAGTCCATTTGCCTATCCTTCTGGACAAAAATCTCTATTACTTTTTTGTAAAAGTCCTCCTTATCTTCTTGTAGTTTCAAAAGTCTATCATAAATCTAAATGATGGATTTATGATTCGAAAATGATAAAAGTAGGGTAGACATGTGGATATTATCCGGCTGAACAAAACGTGCATTTATCTAACAGGTACGTTTCCCACAGATCTTATTTTCAGCTATTTTCTAAAATCCTATGGAGAAATATCATTGCTTTTTTGTCGAGGGAAGCCATGCGCAGCTTACCTCCTGGTTTTAGGACGCGTCTCTCTCCTCCTCTTCACACACCACACTTTTCGCGGCACACGTACTTACAGCCAATCAGCTCTGAATGATGTGAGATGACGTATGGTGAGGATGGCAGCTCTATGCCCCTATGGTCATTATTTTTTGCCACACACATTAAATAGGAAAATACTCTGAGCATGCGCAGTGTAGTTTTTACAGTCACCGTTCACTTAGACAGTGAGAGGGAGGGGCATGATCAGGGTTTGTCCCACATGGCTCTAAACAGCTCAATAGGCACACACTGTAGACACTAATTAGAAGAACACATACTAAAACAGCAATGTACAGACGAATCAGATGATTAAACATGATCTTAAAATATATTTGTTTTTATTTATTTTTAGCATTTTGTTGTAATCATTATTTTAATACTTTCTGCTGACACTAGGTGGGGCTGTGCCCCTAATGACCAGTCGCCACTGCTCATAATAACGTAACACTATCAGAGACTGGATATTCGATGAGCAGTTTCTAAAATAATATCCAGGGGATGCATGCAGAGCTGTCATTGGCTGAGACAAGTCCGGCCGTACGTCACGACTCTTTGAAACATCTCTGTTCCCGGAAATGCATCCGTGAGCCGTGGAGGACCCATCAGTGTATCCTCGATTATAGCTCCTCGATGCTCGGTCCTCGAAGTTCATTTAGAGAAATGAGATGTCCTTCAACATCAGTGGCGAGCCGTCAGGGCCCTCTGTGAGTGCCTAAGATATTCTAAAAAATAATATTTGAAAACATTAAAAAAACAAAATTATTTTTTATATTTTTTTGTTGTTACATTTTTCATTAGTTTTACCAAAATAACTTGATCTAATTGTATTTAAAATAATATTTCCAAAGAAATAAATCCTTTGAATCTGCCTGTTCAGTTTCTGTTGGAATGTGAAGGGTTAAATGCCGTCTCTGCGAGTTATGTGAAGACGGGAGAGCTTGTTGGTCCCTCTCTACATTCACAGAGGGCCCGCTATAGTAACTCAACGAGAGAGTAATGTCAAATGACAGTACAATTGACCAATCATATATTCCCTCTAAATGGGCGGGCTTTATTTTCGCGGACTTTATGACAAGTTCCGCCCGCTGTGAGGTCTATGCAAGTGGTGCAGTGAAGCATCCTAAAACCCGGAAGTAAGCTGCGCTGGGATTCCCTCGACAGAAAGCAATGGGATTTCTCCATAGGATTTTGGAAAATAGCTCGAAATAAGGTCTGTGGAAAACGAACCTGTTAGATAAATGCACGTTTTGTTCAGCCGGATAATATCCACATGTCTACCCTACTTTTATTATTTTCGTATCATAAATCTAACCGATAGATTTACGATCGATAGATTTATGATTAGCATAAGATCGTTCATGATGTCTCACTTCAGTGATAGTGATGACGAAATTATTAACCGAGTCATTTTCAAGATTGAGTTACAATGATAAACTGGAGTGGCAAAGGATCAGCTGCATGACCCGCCATCAAGTGCTTCATCCAAAAGGACAGGAGGATGGACTTTGTGTTTCAGTGATTTATCATCAAAGGTAGGCCTAAGTCATTTTCAATGTGGGCCGCCTTGCCGACTTAATTCATTTGTAATTGTTACTTGGCTGTGGGTGCCCTGTCATGATAGATGTTTATATAAATGATGTTGTTTTGTGTGGAAGAGGGTCGCTGTCATTGATGCGTTTTGCACCCCGGGCCGCTGTTTTAATATTCCGCTGAAGTATACGCTGTGACGTAATATCTCTTCCTTTTTTTCGAGGGAAGGGGGGTCAGAGGGCCTAGGTATAAAAGTCACAGCTCGCCACTGTTCAACATGGAGCGCTAAAATTCATTTCCGGGTCACTACCGGAGGACCGAGGAGTCGAGGAGGGGGATTTGATGAAATGAGAAAGGGCCAATGTGACTGGTCTCAGAGAACTGCTTCAGTGTTTGACTCATCAAATGTGCAGAACGAAATATTGCTGAGAGGAACCAAAACACCCATGGAGTGTCCATCAGACGGCTCAGGATTACAGCATGAAAGTTAATCTGGCTCTGAGTTAGTCTGACACTACCCACAGCATCAGGAACATCAGCCTCATCCCAATACCCCTCCTCGACTCCTCTCTTCCCCTCCTTCGGGACTTGACCCGGAAATCGATCAAGACACGCCATTTTGAAGGATATCCCAATAGCTGAAATGCACACGGAGGAGTCGAGGAGGGAGGAGGGGTGCGGGAGGAGACGAAAGGGAGGATACACGCGGGCAGACTATGCGGAAGTGTTTTCACTACTCGCGTATAAAAGCCCCGCCCCCACCTTCACAGCTGGTCCATTTCAACAGAGGAAAACCGACAACTGGAAGATGAGTGGAAAAGCGTCACATAAATGTACAAGTGCTCACAGCTCCGTGGGAATTATTATGTGCAATTCATTTCTAAAAGGCTTTCACATTACTATAATTATATTTTTATTTAAATGTAGGCTACATTTTACACCAAAACGGAACACAAAAGCAGGACCAACCATCATTGAATTCCTTGACTAACAAGAGAAAGATTCATTCATTTAAATACATATTTAACCAGAAATGGGCCGGTTCTAAGGGGTCAGTTGAGCCCGATGAGAGGGGATACAGCTGTGCACATGTCATCATTAACAGACGTCGTTTAAGAGTGACGTTTGAGTGAACGAGGACATCCCAATTAATACCTGAGGACTCCTCTGTCCTCTGTCCTCGTGTCCCTCGCTCGCATCTTACGGAGGCGGAGCTAAAATGCAAGGAAGGGACGCAAGTGAGGGAAAGGAGGAGTCTAGGAGGGGTATTGGGATGAGGCTATCGACTCTTTAGATAATGTGTCTGTAATGTGACATCACAAATGTCTACTTTTGGTAGATATGGTATTGGTAAATATAGTTACATAGCAACATACAGATTAGGTTCTGCCAGCTTCTCTATTTTCCCTAATGCTAATGTGTCTCTATCAGGTGTTATTATGCCGCACAAGGAAGATGTACCGTGTGCTGGCAGCAGGCATCACTTCCACGAACCATGAACTTTTTCACTCAGATTTACATTACATGTCATTACAGTCAAAGTAAAACGTCATAAAAAGTCAAATAAATACAAGTTTGTCAAACAAATCATTGTAGTCTGTCATCTAAATCCAATTGAATGTAGATCCCCCCCG